AGCTGTTGTTCAGCATCTTAGCTGTGGAGGGCAGTGTCACTGGCCCTCATGTGGGATCTGAACTGGGGCCCTCTGACGTCCCAAGCCAGCTCTTAACCAACGTGCCATTCGGCCAGCCCTACAGTTACTTTCCAAAGTTGGCATTTTCTCATTTTAATAGCCTTCTTTTCCTCCTAGTCTGCTTCCTGTAATGTTAGGTACCATTAGTAAATTTGTAGGAAGTCATACATCAAATACAAGTTTTAGGAAATTCTGAAAACCTTACACATAATGGAGGTGTTCCATGACAACTGTTTTGAGATTCTAAAGGCCCTTTGCTTCTGGAGGTAGCAGTTGCTAGAAGACTTAGTGTCACGACAAGTGGTATGCACTGAGGTAGGATCACTTTTTTCTGTACACTATGTTTTATTTTAGGACCTGTCTGAGAAACTCGCTGAACAAGAATTACAGTTTCGTCGGCTCAGTCAAGAGCAAGTTGACAACTTTACTCTGGATATAAACACTGCCTATGCCAGACTGAGAGGAATCGAACAGGCTGTTCAGAGTGAGCACATGAACCTCTTAGATAATTTTATTCAAGCCAGCTTCCAATGAGGATAATGGGATAAGTGCATCGATATTAGGGCGTAAAGATGCTGAAGTCACGCTAATACGTTATATTCATTTTGTAGAAAATTAGCCCCAGATTTGGTAAATTTGGAATGTAGAGAGTTGTGGGAGAAAATTTTAAAAGCATCTAAAGATTAAATAAGTTGAAGTTTTACTCCTCGTGTGACAGACGTGAGATCAGCATTTACAAGGCAGTTTCCCCTGCATGCTTTGGTTTTATGTCATGGGCCCTGAGTGGAGAAAAAAGTCAGTGTGGCCCCATGCCTGCCTGCAGGCTGTGCAGACCTGTCTCCAGCTCTGCTGTGGGAGAGTTGCATGGAGGTGCTGATTCGCTGGTTCTACTCACCAGACAGACAGTAGCTCGCTGAAGCCTCCATGTGCTGCAATGAAAGGAAAGTGTCGTAACAGTGAGGATGTCGATAAAATGGGTGTCTTCGGGGTGTTATGGAATCCTTTTTTTTGGGCAGATAAAGATAAAAATAAGCTAAGTACTCATGAAATTTTAAGATCCAGTAATCCATTAAGTTTATTTGAAGTCTTCCATCCCTTTTCAGGAAGTTTCTGATGGTCTTAGCATAAGTCTTAGCCTAATTTAAATATCATGTTTCCTTCTGAAACATTTCTACAGGTAAATATACCTGAATTAGATATGCCATGCATTGTCCTAGATGTCCCAGGAAGAGAAAGGAAACTCAGGTGTACTTGTGCATGTATATCTTCCTGGTTTTCTTCATGGCTTTAGGAAAAATAAGTCCTCATCAAATATGGAATGGCTTGTTGCCTCATATGAAGAGGCCAGCTAGGAAAGAACATGCCAGAAATAAGTGGTGGGATGGGGTTGGAAGAGGCTTTTTCTGGCCGTATCTTCCCTATGTGTGGAATTAGCTTGTTGAAGGTGCATTAGTTCTCTGGATGTGTGAGAGAACACGTGGTCAAGTGGAGAGAAAATGTTTGTCTTTGCTTTTGTTTATAGGTCATGCAGATGCTGAAGAGGCGGCCAGAAAAGCCCACCAGCTCTGGCTCTCAGTGGAGGCGTTAAAGTACAGCCTGAAGACGGCATCTGCGGACCTGCCCACCGTTCCACTGGGCCATGCAGTTGAGGCCATCAAAGCCACCTGTTCTGATAGTGAATTTGCCCAAGCTTTGACCGCAGCTCTCCCTGCAGAGTCCTTGACCCGTGGGGTGTACAGTGAAGAGACCCTTAGAGTTCGTTTCTATGCTGTCCAAAAACTGGCCCGAAGGGTAGCAATGATCGATGAGACCAGGAATAGCTTATACCAGTACTTCCTCTCCTACTTGCAGTCCCTGCTCCTCTTCCCACCTCAGCAACTGAAGCCACCGGTGGAGCTCTGCCCCGAGGATACAAACACATTTAAATTATTGTCGTATGCCTCCTATTGCATTGAGCATGGTGAGCTGGAGCTGGCAGCAAAGTTTGTCAATCAGCTGAAAGGGGAGTCCAGACGAGTGGCGCAGGACTGGCTGAAGGAAGCCCGCATGACCCTAGAAACTAAGCAGATAGTGGACATCCTGACAGCCTATGCCAGTGCTGTAGGAATAGGAACCACCCAAGTGCAGCACGAGTAAGGCCTAGGAAGAGTCTCGTACAATCCTATTTCTTGTCAGAGGAAATCAGTAACACATGAAAGGTTTGCAACAGGGTCCCAGAATGTCTAGAAAGGAGCAGGTTACAAATACCATCCTAAATGTTAACACCTGTTGTACTTAATATTATTTCCACTTGCTATCATGTCAGTGAACTCCAGGAGTACTTTCTTCGCAACTTGTGAAACATTTTCCGTTTTTCAGGTTTTACTGATAAGGCTTGTGAGCCAATCAAAATAATGTTTGTGATCTCTAATTACTATTGATTTTGCCCTTGGAGCAAACTGAATAAAGCAAAAAGATGAAAACTGAGTAGTTTATCCCTTTTCAAAACGTGCCATTTCAAGCTCATTGTGTGTATAGAAAATTTCCTTGAGAAGCAGCAGCAGAAGCAGGAAGTCCTGCACACTCAGTTTCCAGGCTGTGAAGTGTGTCCCAGAAGTCCAACTGAGGCTTGTTCTTGGCTCTGAAGGTTCTGGTGAACTGATTCCTGCTAGTCACACTCAAGAGTGAGTATAAGCCAAGATGCCCAACATATTTATCATTGGAGATAATCTCATTCTAGTGAGGCACTAGAAATAGTATGCACCCCAAATTTCTTTGATTGCTACTACAGGAAAAAATTCTATTTTATATTGGGACCCAACATACACACACACACGGGACCCAGTACACACATGTACACGTGAAAGTTTCTCTAGCCTCTGCTTCCCCTTTCTACTTGTGATGCACTTTTTGGTCTGTGGCATTAAAAAAAATGTTGGTCTCTATCCACAAATTAATTCAACAGACCTCAAAATGGGTCACAGCTCAGTTTGGAAATACTGGTGATTGGCCTTGCTCCTTTCTGGTCCCTGGACTGTGAATCTCTTCATTGAAGTGGGGGAGTGAGCCTGGAATCCTAAAGAGATTGAATAATTTTGTGGTATATTTGAACTGATTGCCATAAAACCCAGAGAACTTCCTTACCTAGTTCACACCTCTGAAGATTAGGACAATTGCTGTATTGTGTATACATTAACAAATTCCTCCCCTTTATTTTTTACTCCATGAAAATACTGTTTTTTCCCCCAAACTGTAATTTATTGTTGGGGTTTATGTGTTCACAAAGAGATTATTGAGGAGGCACTTTAGTTTGAGCAACATATCTGCAAATCATGAAAAAAGGGGAGTAAGGTCCCACATCATATTTCTGCAAGTGTGTGACAGCCCCTGAATTTGGGTTGTTACTGTCAAGTTTGCATGATGCTTGACCTTGTCCTTTGGTTTTGGGCATCTGTTGGCCCATTTTGGCCTGGGTTGACGTTGATATTCCTTATGTTCCTCCTAAACGGATTTTTAATCCAACAAAAACATTTAGTTTTCTGATTGGAACACATGCTTTGTGTCATGTCCTTAATTTCTGCAGGTTAGAGGCACTCTTCACACCTGAAGGCTGTTTGGTTTGTACTAGAAGATAATGAGGCTGTTCTAAGTTCAGCCTTTCTTCCCCTTTGGCATGGCATGAAATTGCAAAAGACATTAATTTGCAAAGCTGACTACTTACCTACTTGTCATTTTAGAAATGATTGTAATTTGTTTTCCTCATGCAATATGTAAAACATTATAGATGATAATATAAATTTCTCTAGGAGTCTGGGAATAACCTCCCATGTGATTATCTGAGCTGAGCAGAAGCAACACTGAGTCATTTATTTTAGCTCTGTAAATCAGAATAACAAAGCTTTCAATTTTAGCAGTTCCTTCAGCAAACCTCCCCACCCCCATTGCAAATTGGAAAATAGGATGATGTTGAAAAGGGGATTGTTTGGCCAGGCCTTAATTTCCATTCCTCATCCCTAGTAATAATCATCCTGAAATGTCACTAGCAACCCTTCAAGCGAAAGGGGCCTTTACTTGGGCCTAAAGAGCCTTTACCCAGGTTCTCAATTCTACGTCAAGGAGGTGGAATCCAAAGAGCCAAGGTTGGGGCAAGGTGGACATGGCCCTGGGCAGTCAGGCCAGGGAGCTTCACTTCAGCATATTTTTGTTTAAACTGCAACTGGTAAGTTACACCTCCTGACTTGATCATATGAAGCCAAGTCATTTCTGTCTTGCTTACATTGTCTCAATGTGTTTTATTTTTTAAATTTTTATTAAATTTATTGGGGTAAAATTGCTTAGTAAAATTATATAGGTTTCAAGTGTACATTTCTATAGTACATCATCTGTCACATCGTGTGCTCCCCACCCAGTCAGTTCTTCTATCACATGTATTTGACTCTCCTGTTCCTCGTCTATCATCCCCCCCAACCCCCTTACCCTCTGGGAACCACTGGACTGTTGTCCATGTCTATGAGGTTTTGTTTTTTTGCTTTCAGTTTTATATCCCTCGTATGAGTGAAATCATAGGGTTCTCCACTTTTTATTACCTAACTTCACTTAGCATGATATAATCTCAACCTCCATCCATGTTGCAAATGGCAGTATTTCATCTTATGGCTGAGTAATATTCCATTGTGTGTGTATACCACATCTTCATCCAGTCATCTATCGAAGGACATTGGGTTGTTTCCATGTTTTGGCCACCATGAATAATGCTGCAGTGAACATAGGGGTACATATATCTTTATGGATGTTTTCAGATTTTGGGGGTAGATACCCAGAAAAGGGATTGCAGGGCCGTATGTTTATTCTTAATTTTTAAAGGAACCTCCATATTGTTTTCCATAGTGGCTGTATCAGTTGACATTCCCACCAGCTGTATATGAGGGTTCCTTCAACAGCCTCTCAAACACTTAATACTTGCCTTGTTGATAATAGCCATTCTAACAGGTGTGAGGTGATATCTCATTGTGGTTTTGATTTGCATTTCCGTAAGAGTTTGTGAGGTTGAGCATCTTTTCGTATATCTGTTGGTCGTTTGTCTTCTTGGGAAAAGTGTCTATTCAGGTCCTTTGCCCACCCGCTGCCTTTTTTTTTCTTTTTTTTAGTAGATGTGCTGCTGAAGCTAGCACACCTCTGCCCATTTTAATTGGATTTTTTGTCGTTGTTGAGTTGTTATGAGTTCTTTATATATTTTGGATATTAGTTCCTTATCAGAGGTGTTGTTTGCAAATATCTTCTCCCGTTCAGTTGGTTGCCTCTTTGTTGATGGTGTCTTTTGCTGTGCAGAAGCTCAACATAAGAAAAGCTATATACGACACACCTTCAGTTAATATACTCAATGATGAAAAACCGGAAGTTTTTCTTCTATCAGGAACAACACAGGGATGCCCCCTCTCACCACTGTTATTCAGCATAATATTGGAAGTCATAGCCAGAGCAATCAGGCAAGAGAAAGAAAAAGGCATTCAAATTGGGAATGAAGTTAAATGGTTACTTTTTGCAGGTGACATGATTCTTTATATAGAAAACCCTAAAGACTCCACCAAGAAAACATTAGAAACAAATACAGTAAAGTCGCAGGATACAAAATCAATGCACAAAAATTCATTGCATTCCTATATACTAACAGTGAAATTTTAGAAAAATGAAAAAAATTCCTTTGCAATTGCAACAAAAAATAAAATACCTAAGAATAAACAAAGGATGTGAAGAATGTATACACTGAAAACCATGAGACATCAATGCAATTGAAGACGACACAAAGAAATAGATCAGCGGTTCTCAACTTTTCACAGGGGTCGCCTAAGACCATCAGAAAACATATTTTCGATGGTCTTAGGAACCGGCACCGCTCCTCTATCCGTCTCCAGGCCCACAAGCAGGTATGCCCACATACGAGTACCCGGAGACCCCTGTGAAAGGGTCGTTCGACCCCCAAAGGGGTCGCGACCCACAGGTTGAGAACCGCTGAAATAGTCTGTGTTCATGGCCTGGAAGAATCAACAGTTAAAATACTGCCCTATTACCCAAAGCAATATACAGATTCAATGCAATCCCCATCAAAACCCCAGTGGCATTTTTAAAAGAAATTTAAAAATCATCAGATTTTCAAGTTACTGCACACGACTCTTCCCTTTACCTTATTCCAGGAGTCCTGACTCCCGTTTGCTCTTCTGATACTCTGGTTTCTCCTATTCCTTTTAAATTACTCAAAACTAGTTTCACTACCCTCAGTTCCCGATTTACGAAAGGCCATTTTCTGACTTATTTTTACTGTGGTTGCTTTCTACGTCATTGATGCTGGTGCTTCCTGGGGCATCACCACAGCAGTACATCCCCTTCTAGTGCCCCAAAGCTTTTCAAAACTTGATTCTGGTCTTAATTGGATCTGAATTATAACGGAAACCTTTCTCGTTTAAAATGCTAAAACTGAGTTTCAGGTTTTAACTTTCTTATATGAACATCAGCTGAGAACTGTTGAGACTGTTCTGAGTGGTCTTACAAATGAGGGGCCCCCATGACATCACCAAGAAGCCACTCATTTTAGTAAATACATTTAAGGATGCAGTACTTGAGTTGTATTAAAGTGTACAGACAGTTGTGAGGAAGAGTTGACAGCAAATTGAGAAAGCCAGGACCCAAAGCAAAAATTAGTAGGTTACTAACTGGTACAAACAGAACATCTTTTACCTTTTAGAGGATAATAGTTCACTAGTTGGTGAAATAAACGCTTAAAAATAAGTCAATGGAGACCAATCCTTTATGCCATAATTTCTTTCTGAAAAGTTCAAAGCAGTTATTTGATAAGAGTGGGGTCTGGAATACCTGCAGCACAGAGGTAAAGCCACCATGCTGCTTGTCACCCACTTTGAAAGTCCATTATAAATGCACATGACATCAGGCCACACAGAGTTGCCATCATCAACTTTGTAGTTGCGAAGCACTGTGGTGAGGATTCAGGGAGGGCTTGGAAAGGGGAGAGGTGGACCACTTCTCAGTGAGCACTTGGCCAGGGAGAGGCATTGGCAGCTGTCAAAAGAACCAGGGGAAAGAGGCGGAGGTAACGGAAGCTTCATGCAGCCAGGTTCTCCTTGGGTTGTAAGCCAAGGTCAGAGGCTACTCTGCCTGATTTTTTGCTCATTTGCTCTGATATGTTGAGGGGCTAATGGAACGATGCCTGAGTAGCTAACTACTGTAATCACCCCCACCTTTCTCCCTCAGTTACATGTCTTAAATTCTGCCATTTTAGGAGAAAGCATGAACCAATACGTATGTTTCTGAGGACCTATGAATGGTTCCTGGCCTACAGAGGATGGTAAATGGGGATGGGAACAGACACGTGTAACAGACATCAATACAGGAGCCCACAAATGCTAATCCTGGAGGGTAAGGATGATGGTGCTCAAGTGCGAGGACTCCTGGGCGCCTCAGTCAATCGGAATCAGATGAGCAAAGCCACCTGTGGTGGAAGTCCCCTGTGCAGAACGCTCCCGCAAACCTCAAGTTCCTGTCAGCTTCCAGGACCATTTGAAAGTCACGGTGGTGACAGAGATGCTAGAAGGAGGAGAGGTTCTTGATCTTGTTAGCCAGCAATATACAATCATGTCAAGAAGACATTTCAACGCATGGGTCATGACAAGCCCTCACTGAGGCCACTTTAAGTACAGCACAACAACAGGTGCCAGCAGAAAAAAAGAAGAGGGAGAGACGAACACTTGTGCAAGCCCCAAGTACCACGGAAAGGCTATGGCAAAGGCTACAGAAATAATGAAATGCACACACATGGACATTAGTTACAGTATTTATTTACAGTCTTCATTTTCCCAGTTGTGCAGCCTAAACTGCCACTGTCATGTAACTGATTATAAGATATACAATTTTTTCACATCAAAATATCCCTGAAATTGGGATACTGTTGACCCAAAATCCACTGTGATGTAACTGTATGAAAACCTCCTTTAGACACTGTCTCTAAGATCGAGGAAGTACCAGCAGCGTCACAGCATCAGCCAACAAAGGCTGACATTCCCACAGGGAGGGTGAGCGACAGCTGATAGCCTTGTGGAGTCGCAGGCCAACTGCAGGTGCAGAGCGTATGCTAATCTGGACTTACGCAGCTCGCAGCTCACGGTGTGTGTCCAAGGAGCCAACGACGACAAAGGTAGTTAGTGTTGCTTCTGTTTAAATGGGAAACCCTGATGGGCGCTTTAATTAAGTATCAAATTAGGAATTTAACCTAAACTAGTCAGTGTCAGCATTTCAAAGGTCACCAAATCTCCATTCTCATTTTATTCACATCATGGTTAAATATTAAAACCTCAGTTCTCAAGTGGAATTAACAGAGACTACACCAGGCCCCAACTGCTCCTGATTGGCCCACTTTTATTTGCCTTCACTGATGTCACTGTCGCTGTCACTGCTGCTGTCACTGGTCGATGCAGTTAAATTTCCCAGGGCTTCCCTGTAAGGAAAATAAACTGGAGAGTTACACTGTAGCTCAGGCTTGGGGATGGGGATTCTGCAGCTTCACTAAATTATACTAACAAAGGAAAAGGTTCCAACAGCTACTTCTATATGTGTCCCTGACTATATGTGTCCGTACGATCAATAAATTATTAATAATAAATCCTTTTTACAAAGAATGAAGAACATTCAGGGGGTAGAAAGGTATACACATTTGAATGGGCAGATTCAAATCTCCATTTTTATAACTGTCCTTCATGGTGATGAGACAGGAGCCAAGTACTTACTTTTGTTCCTGGCTGATTGCGAAATCAGCCATCACTCTCCGGGTGAGGCCCTCACAGGTAGGTAGGCTGAAGGCACTCGCCAGCTTCACGATCTCAATGGCCTGGGCCGGGCTGTTGGATGCTTTCGCACTGTCCATAAACTCATTCAGCAACTCATTTCTGTAAAAGAAAGGTGAAATGTCAACATTCCCCAACTAAACCCCTAAACCCCACTCCGTCAAAAGATTTACCTGCAACATCTAGCATTTTATTTTTTAAAATTACTTTCAGGTGTACAAGGCAACATACTAGACATTTACACCCCTCACAAAGTCTTAATCCCCTCCCCCAAGCTACTACCCCTCTGACATCTAACATCTAGCATTTTAGAAAGTTAAATCATAAAATCCTCAACTGTAGCTTCGGAGGCAAAGTCACATGAAGTCTAACTTTGGGCCAGAGATAATACACACTGGTTCGCTATGTGTCACTGAGGTCTATTCAATGGATCCCTGGTGGTGTGATCACGGACACAAATAACAAGTCAGTGCCTGCCTCGATGCCCGATGCAACTGTCCACCTGCGTGCCTATCAGAGTAGTGCCCCCTGCAGTGGCTGAGGTGTGAAGAAAGTCCCATCACCCCACAGTAAGAGTTAAGCCCACGCAGGTAATTCAAGGATATACCCAGGCAGGCCTGTTAACTTCAACTTACCTAGGGATCTTATTATGCTTCCTGAAAAGCCCCAGCATTTTCCTGTTCAAGATGAGATAGGAGAAAGATTATGAATACTAGTAGAGCAGAAGGCAACCAGATGACCACAGCTGGCCCCCTGGACTCAGAGATTAAGTGTCCTTCCTAAGGACAGAGGAAGCCCCTGAAGATGCCTGCCAGAGGGCGCCACGGCTCCCAGTCCTGTCTTTACGTCACAATCACCTCCTGTGCCTCACCTCCCTCCTCCCAAACTTCACGTATGTACGTAAGTTTCATAGGCGCATCTGCTTCACTGCCAGTGTTGGGAAGTGCTGGGTACATCCTCCTGAAGAGGATCATGCCCATCTTCCAGGGATGGAGTATGTCCTATGGGCAGCTGGAAGACAGCACGATCTCTGTCACCTCCCAGTATGAATTCAGTGCGTCCTAAACTTACGTTATGAAGAGCAGGCTCAGAGTGAGGCTTGTCTCGTGTGTGTGCTCACCACCAGCCTGCCACATGCAGGACAAGGGAGAAGCACACACACTCAGCTCCCATGACTCAGCTGAGGTCCGTACCCCTGCGCCAATCATCACAGCCTGATTCATAACGAGTGTATCTCAACCTGCCTGAGTTAACAAATTTGACATCAAATGTTTCTGTCACTAGCAGTGTAGCAGGTCACGTGTGATTCATACTCCTGAGACCAGGGGAGGCAGCAAAGCATCACTAGCCTTTCCTGGAGACAGTGAACAGCCACTTTGGATTGACAATCATGTATTCAAATTAAGTTACTTTCTCGTGCTGAAGAAGCCATACACCAGCATGCCCCACTTACTCCAAGAACTAACATTGATATCCAAAACAAAACAGCAGAACCATCCAACTGGGATGACCCCTACAAACTAGTCTTTTGCTGACTCCTCTGCTTTTGAAAAAATGAATATGCATAAAGTCTCCATTTACAATTAAATAGTAAAAATTAGTATGTGGATGAAGTGCTGACGAAAACATGTAACCATTATAGAATACAAAGCAATGGCAGGTTCTGGTAAATGCCCGTTTCCTGAAGTCCAAGAACACAGCCCACATTTTAAGGTGGGTGGTGGTGGAGCACCCACAAATGAAATACTTCAATAAACCAAATGCCCAACATTTTCAAAGATACTTTGATCACTTTGTTCTATTTAAGTAGACAGACAATTAACTTGCCCACGGATACAGAAAACAGAAAGGTAATTAATGAAGAGAGAACCACGTTCTCTCTTAAATCATGTATACTGGTCTTCTTCCAAAAGTTTGCTTGTCCTCTCTTAAATACATCATGTATACTGACTAGACAGCTCCTAAAAGTTTGCTTTTCAGTGTTTTGGGAAGTTTCCATAGTTATCTCATTATGTAGAAAACTCCTTTGTCTCCTGATAAACTACACATCACACAGCCAAGTGTGAGAAGCTTTGCTAACCAGGGAAATGTTCTCTGAGATCCATGTACAAATGCTTCTAGTTTACACGTGTGTGTCACACTCACCAGGCTTCCTGGGTTCTCCCAGCCCGTAAGAACAGGACCGCTATATAGTTCAGAGCGTTCGCTGGCCAGTCAGGAGCAGTCTGTCTGGCATCCTGGCTTTCGAAAGTAGACTTGATATCTGCAGCACAGTCAGCAAACGCCACCTGAAGCTGAGAGGCTCTAGGAATTAGCAGAACTGCCTGACTGGTTTTATGAGAATTTAAGCTCAGGAGACTCCATAGGACCATTAAAAAATTTTGTGCAATGCATTTTACCATTTGAACACATTACGTAAGAGTATATAGCTCACAAGTAATAAAGCAAAAAAATAAAGCATCCTGCCCTGGGATAAATAATTTGATTAGCCACATCTTTCAAATCTAGCCATGGGCTTTCTTTTTAGATATATATATTTTTAAATGCAAGCTGCTACTGTGAGGACATCTTCATGTTGTTTGCTTTGGACTAGAGCGCAGGGGTTAGCCAACTTGAGACGGAAGAGCCAATCCTATCCCTTACAACAATTTAAAAATTATTCAAGAGCCATAAATATATTTTTACAAATAAGGAAAATTTTTAAATCCTTTAAAATTTTTATAAATGAAACTATGATAGTTTTATTTTCATTTTCAATTTTACTTCAAAGCCACGTGTATGTACCCAAAGAGCCCCAGTTTGCCGACCCCTGGACTAGAGGAACGAGAGTGACTTTAGAAATGGTATCCTGCTAATGGCTGGATGTTTATATGTATAATTTAAATCTGGGGTTAGATGGCGTTAATTCTCCACAATGACAGGTGAAACCAGGGAAACCACCCCACAGGGCCTGAAGTGTTACAGGATAGATACACTTGTTAGAAAACACCTAATAATAAGGAAACCTGAGTGTCGGTACAACCCTACCTCTGCTGGATGCTTATCCCTTGCCATGAGCATCAGAATCTCTTCTTTCAGGTCATTGCGAAAAGTGTGACCGTATTCTTTACTATCTTGAAACAAAAAAGGGATATGGTGAGAAGTGACCACCATCGTGCAAAACCAACATTCTCTGGCTGACTTTTATCTGTTGTCAGCTGTTATCCATACTTTTTAGTTAGTGAAAATAAGTTGCTGACATTACCTACTCCATATTTATTTCTGGATTCCAGAAAACCAGCAGGATGATTCACGGTAAGAATGAACAAAAGAGCAGTGAAAGCCAGTGGCTGCTCCCAGGCAAGTGTCACATAGCACACACCACGAGTAGCCACCAGCTCTGTGTGGTAAGGCACTGTGTTATAGTGTGTGAGAGCCGTCAACGGTCTTTTGTCAAAAATGGAAGTTTTCATCCCTAACAATGTTACCATGTTTGTTAATCAAAACATTAAGACAATGAAATGAGATGAGCCTGGACACGTAAGCTGAAACCCACCTTTCCAAATCTGAGGAATCATTTCCAGCCTATTGGCCACATCCAGTGCTTGGAGAAGATCTATCAATGTCTGGGAATGTGGTAAGAAGACCTGAATAAG